AGGCCCTTGGATCTCTTCCATGTCCCATCCGCAGATCTTCTTCATATTTATACCTGTGCTTTACTTTGTCTTCTGCTCCTTTCACTCAGGGAGACTCCAGCTTGACAATATTTTTGTCCCTTCTCGACAGATCAGCCCCTTTTCCAAAGTCAACACTGAACTCCATATGGTATTTAAAAACATGTTTCAAAGTCCCTCCAAAGTTAAGGGCCCGCACCACCCCGGACACCTCCCAGCCCAAAGCCAGACTTGAAAGGTCAAAACATCCCTGCATAGGGGGGTCTATCCAGCCCCCCATCTCCAAACCAAACAGAACTCTGTCTCTCCAAATCTGGCTTTCTCCAGGTTCATTCATCAAGTCCAACAACTCATGTTCCTGCTGGGCCACAGTTCCCTCCATCTCTGCCTCACTAGGTCCAGCAACAGCCTCCTCCCTCATCTGATCTGTCAAAGCACACTCCTGAGTTAACTCCTGAGTGGGTTCTATATAAGTACCCACTGCCTGTCCAAACTTTCCGATCCCAACAGTCATCAAATCCATCTTCTCATGTAACTGTTCCAGTAAAGCACTTGTCTTACAAAAGGCCATCACCAGAGCCTCCGAATACATTGTTGTTGAAGGTCAGAGTCTGTTCCCACGATCTTAATCTATTGCAGCTGCAAAGCTCCCCAGTTTGAATTTAATAACAGTTTCACAAGCTCCCTCTAGGAGAAAAAACTTCTATTTGTATCCATCTCTCTCCTTTTTTTTTTAAAAAAGCAAATCTAACAACAAATTTTCCTTTTTCAGATATTTTGTCAATATTTTGTTCCTTTTAGATGCGAAGGGGAACAATGGAATCAATATGTTTCTCTTCTTTTAACTATCTGTCAAAAACGTTTGTCTATAGTCAATGAACCTCCCGAAGACATCTGTCCTGACACCCCGCTCCCAGGTTCAGGACGGTGGAGAATTGCTTTTCTTTACTTGTCTTCTGCAAGTTTAATCAGTCCAGAAAAAGTTCCCCCCTCTTCTCCTGCTTCCAAGGGGGGTTCAGTAATTTTAAATGATGAAAGTTGATCCTTTACAACGATTTTCTAAGCTCTAGCTTGCCATGTCTTTGCTTCAATCTATTTACAAAAAGCGGAAAGCAGACTTCCTGTTTAGACCTTCCCGCTTCAGTGCCCAATTAAAGGAAATTTCTTAGTCCACTTTTCCGTTCTACTCACGGACAGTTATTTAAGCTCCAATTGTCCACAGGAAAAAGTCAGCGCTCTCCGGCAACAGCAATGCGGCTTCACTCCGTAAAAGAAGCAGTCGATTCAAGGCACCGCGCCACTCACCCCACGTTGCTCCGGAACCCCGAAATCGGGTTTCCCCGCGAGTAGGGGAGGCGCAAAGGTGCCGGCCGAATCCCACGTCCACAGGCTTCTCCTGTCTGTGGTTTTTGATGGGTCTCCGCCTCGCCGTGGTGGTTCAGACCCTGTTTTCCACGGAGCGGATTCCTCCCAATCGGAGGAAATCCGCCATTGCCGGAGGCGCCAACCCGGAAGTCCCCCCCAGTGAATTTTTCTTAAAGTCCTGGCAAGCAGACCTCTTTCCACCTGTGCAACAGCTTAGTTGAATCCTGCTCTGTGCATTTGAAGACATCCTTTGTTTGATGAGCAATCCAGTCCAAGTCTTGTTTAGAGACTGGACCATAAAAAGAGAAAACTTTGAAGTTGCCCTCCATAATTAGCATCTGAGCTGGTCATAGTCTTACCCACTAGAGTGAAATTTATTTCTATTAAATATTCCTCTATTTTGAAGGTACTTCAGTTGTTTTATCACTTAAAAGCCAGAGAGTTAATCGATTAAAATAAAATGATAGGTTGAGCTTATGCACATTTCATTTTGGAAAAAGGTTCCATTATAAGAGAAAGAGGCCTTACTATGGATTTACAAGAAGAAATAGGAAACTGTAGCAGCTGCTATCTTGCCTGCTCACCCCGAGACACAGAGCATCTTCTACGGGAAATACTCCTGATTATTAATATGAATTTGTACATATTTATGACAATCCTGGGGCGGGGGAAGGGACTGCCAGAAATTTCCAATTTGGTATGTGCTGATTTCCAACCAGTTGTTGTCCTCAATCTTTGAGGAGTAATGATGAAGAAGACCATTAAAGGGTGAAAAACTGGAAGATGTTCACCTGACATTTCCAAAGGCAGGAACATTTGCTGCAACATTTGCTGCAAACTTTCTAAAATGATACCACAAGAAACTGAAGAGGGAAACAGACGATGCTGGACACCTCTTATCACAACTGATGGCTTCTGCCCTACATAGCGTTGGGGAACAAATTCAGTTTTGTTTCTATTTTCATGAGAAACTACCCAATCCACATTTTCCAAACCAATATGCAAACTGAAACACAGTTGCACTTCTCCCAATTATGGAATGTAGTTGTCCAGCCAAATGACATGTACAAAAATGCATATGTTGACGGAAAGCGTGCAGAAAAAATGCACTGGTGGAAATAGCATATACAAATGCATTAAATTAGAGGAAATAGCTTGTGAAGAGGTGTATATTAGGCAAAACTGCATACCAAACTCTGCATATTAAGAGGTATTTGCACTAAAATGCTGGTGAGTGTCCATGATTTATTTCATGCTCTTACTAAAGCAGGCGTCAGCAACCTCCAGAAGTTAGCCTACAATTCCTATCACTCCTCATCACTGGCCATGCAGGCTGGGGCTGATGGGAGTTGGAGTCCATCAGTATCTGTCGAGCACCACATTGGCAATGCTTATACTAAAAGAACATCATTTTGGTTCATCTGGTCACATACCATTTTTAAAAGAAGCCAATTTGATAGAGTATTTCGGGTCCCCTCCTCAACACGCACACACTAAAAGATTTAGTTTCCACAACACCGAAGACTTTGTAAACTGCTTTGTAGAGGACCTTCCTCAGAAGGCCGATTGTACATTTTTAAATAAATAAAGTCCCGTTCAGGCATTGCAACAAATGCATAGTAGGGGACATGGCGCCTCAGCTTAGACCCTCACCAGCTCCATTCAGGGAAAGTCTGAAGGGGGGTTGCAAGAAGAAGAAGAAGAAGAAGAATTTATTATTTATACCCCGCTCATCCAGCTGGGTTTCCCCAGCCGCTCTGGGCAGCTTCCAACCGAATATTAAAAACACAATACAGCATCAAACATGAAAAACCTCCCTAAACAGGGCCGCCTTCAGGTGTCTTCTAAAAGTAAGGTAGTTGCTTATTGCCTTGACATCTGCTGGGAGGGTGTTCCACAGGGCGGGCGCCACTACCGAGAAGGCCCTCTGCCTGGTTCCCCGTAACCTCACTTCTCGCAGCGAGGGAACCGCCAGAAGGCCCTCAGCACTGGACCTCATTTAGCTGAACATACAAATGCGCTTTTACAAGGCCCCTTCAATTCTTCTCTTTCAGTGCTGGATGTTAAGAGTATGGAAGAGGTGAGAGTGGTGACATTGAGATGGGACAATATTTGAGGGCCTATGCCATCTAGTCTTTCAGAGGCTTTAGTTGAGCTGCTGCTTCTTTCACAGTTTTCTTTTATTTATGATATTTGCTCAGAATGTAGCAGCCTGCTAGAAAATTATGTCTTTGCTTGCTTGGTATTGTAGCCTTTCTTGTAAGACTCTATGGTCGCCCCTATGGTGCGCAACATTTGGGAGCCTGCTCATGAACAAAGTCCGTAACATCAAAGGAGCCCAGATCTCCTGTAGTTCAGCATGTATAGTGAAAGGAACATCTCGTTCCTCAGGATTTCGCTTCTGAGGGAAGATTGTGCAGAAAGCATTGTTTCTGTTTTAGCTGGGATCTCTAATGCTGACACATCAGCCCGAGAGAACGATGCTCTCTTCAAAACCTTGTCTATACTTCCAGGGTCTACGGTTTCATTATCTAAACAAAAGAAGCTAAAATAAACCTGGAACATTCCAGAAAAGATTAGGGTGAAAGGTTTGCAAATCTGTATTTCATGCCTGAATAAAAGCGGGAGGAAGAGAGTCTGAACACGATTAATTAGCATAGTGAAAATTTGGGTAAAAGCACAGCCTGCATAAAAAGAAAAGAAGAAATTAAAAAAGGTTCCATATGTTTTCTGTATCTTTCACCTCCCACATACAAATTGTATGGAATAATCTGGTGCTACTCACGTTCTTGTCCTCATGGTGCTTATAAATCAAGCCATGTGTATCTGGTGGGGGATTTAGCTCCCATAAAGTCGACCCATCATGTTTTGTCTTTTTTGGACTCGAAGAGCAAAGATCCCACCGTGCTGAGTTTGTGTTGCTCACTTTAACTTTAATTCATATCTCTAATTCTCTCTGTGTCCCCCCACCCCACCCCCAGCCGCCTTTGAATATCCCCGCTAGGTGGTCCAGACCTCAACTGGGAGATTTACTGGCAAGACTAGAATGTATGAGCACATTGTTTTTCCAATATGATTTAATGACTTTTCCCCCCTGTTCCCATGGCTGTTGAAATCCTCTGCAATTATTCCCACTGGCGGCAGAGGCTCCTGTTGGTCAGGTGAAAACCCATGCAGATGTCAAATGTCAATAAATTTGAAATCCATAAACATAACAGCTCGGTGCCAGAGTAATCTGGGGTTAAACAGAGTGCAGCGATGTATACGTAAATCATGGAGCGGGCCCAACTCTGTATCGATAGCAATGAACGCGGAAATCACAAGAAATAATTGTTTAGAAAAGTTATGAGCTTAAGTTTGTAAAGCTTCCACCATATGCCCAGTGCTTTTTTTTTTCTGGGGGGACGCAGGGGCACACATACACCTAAACATTTTGTGAATCTTTGTCCATTTACTGTATTTATTTTTCCCGATTTGAACTATAAAATGGTGTGGGGGGGTGAGTCAAAATGAGAGTACCTCTAAACATTTTTTTAGAAAAAAAGCACTGCATATGCCCATATGTATAACTCAATAAACATAATAAAAAAATTCCTTCCAGTAGTACCTTAGAGACCAACCAAGTTTGTTATTGGTATGAGTTTCCGTGTTCATGCACACTTCCTCAGCTCATTCGGTATCTGAAGAAGTGTGCATGCACACGAAAGCTCATACCAATAACAAACTTAGTTGGTCTCTAAGGTGCTACTGGAAGGATTTTTTTTATTTTGTTTCGACTACAGCAGACCAACACGGCTACCTACCTGTCGATAAACACAGACGTAGTTATGGTCTCACTTACAGACTCACTGTTTTGTGGGTGGGATTCGGTTGCGTGCTGGCAAATTCAGGTTGCACAGTTAAAGTAGATTTGGTCTTTTTGCACAACAAAACCTGATTTTTGTATGTGTGTGATATGGAAAGCAATGGGAAACTGCACCAGGGATCACAATTGCTATTGAATGCTCGATAAACAACCTCCATAAAATCACAGTAGGTTAGAATTTGACTATGAAGTGACTCAGATAATCTTGCATCTGATCAGAGATGCATCTATCCATCTATCATTGTTACTATCATTATCATTGTTTGTAGACTGTCCTTCATCGATTCCTGCATTGAAGCGGGTTGGACTAAATACCCTTGGGATCTCTTCCAACTCTACAATTCTATGATTCTATGACAATCATGGGGCAGTACAGAGAGTGGTCAGCAGCCTGTTGCTGGGACCTCTTCAGTCTTAGCTCAGACCGCCATTTTGCCACTGCACAGCACAGTGAAGCTTGTTTGTGGCTGTTGGAAGCTGAATCCATGCCTGAACCTTGGGAAGGGTGGAAATGGACCACAAGAAGGAAAAGGAGACTTCCCTCCATTTAACGTAAACATAATGGCTCTTGAATGAGGTCTGGATCACTCAACCGTTCCCGGCTACTTTTCTTTTCATGTCATGAAAAATAGCAGAATATACATCAGCGCCAAATGCTCAGAAACAGATCTGGGGTGAATTAATTTCAACTTGTCCTGCTGAACTAGTTGTGTAGTGGGATGCTATGATCCAGCTCTAAATCTCAGCTCACCATGCCCTTGAAAATATTCCCACCGCGATATGACGCAGTGTACCTCCTGCCCCCAAATTAATGTTCGCTTCGGTTTCCCAAAGATTTGGACATGGCAAATATGTACACAGCCTTTAAAATTACTATTTTATCCTGAAACTACTGCTTCAGATTTATCACACCACGCCACAGGAAAATTAATGCAGGATGCAACAAATGCCTCAACATTAATAACAGCCCAGAATAAAGTATTCTCTCCAACAATTAATCATTACAAGCTGCCTTTCAATAAACCAAGAAGTTGCACGGAAGCACTCAAGTAGGGGCAGACATTTTGTCATGAGATACTGAACGCCACTAAATACCACAGTGTTAGTAGCAGCTGAACAATTTTACAGGCTTAATCTGGGCAGCTAGGAGCTGTCAAATCCAGGATATAATTAATCCATTAATCCGTTTGTTTATATGCCACTTTTCCACAAAATTGTGCCCAAAGCGGCTCGTAACACACCAAATGAATAGCTGCAAATATAGCAATTCAGAGGAAACAAATATTTATGAACCATTAGAATTGCAAATAAACCATTGAGTCAGTAAGTATATACATTTTAAGACTATCAATCAATGCTTACAAGTCCAATCCTGTACATGTCTACTCAGAAGTAAGTCCCATTGGGTTCAGTGGGGTTACTCCCAGGTAAATGAATGTAGGCTTCCAGGCTGAAAGCAAACCAAATAAACTGATCATAGCCAGCATTGAGAAACTAAACAGGGGAGAGAATAATGCCCATCACAGAAATAAAATACAGGACATAAAAGGGTGACCAGATATGTCTCCATTGCATGAAGGCTGGATGGGGAAGACTGAAGAAAACGCTAAGCTTGTCTTCTTGTCTCTAAAGCTTTGCTTTCTTTTATTTGTGAATATGATTAATACAGCACATTTACTTACGCTCTCTTCGGGCAGGTAACCTCCCCCCAATTAGAATGCAAGGGTTCTAAATCATGTGAAGAACTTCCATGGGTAGAGAGGGTTCCCCACTTCACAAATCTTCCCTCCACAAGTTTAAGGGTCACAGGATCAGTGATGGGACAGATCTAGCGAGCTCATCCTCAAGATCCCTCTTCATGTGTCAACTTGACCCACCTGAAGAGAGGTGTAGTGACAGTCCTTCCAATATTTGAAGATGGCAATCATCTCACCTCTTACTTCTTCTCCAGGCTAAACATACTCAGCTCATTCAACCTTTCAGAACTGGGCTCTGGAACCTTTCACAGTTTAATGTCTCTTATGAAACTAGCCTAAGTCTGTGAATTGGAGATTGTGGCTTGTGCCCAATGCAGCTCTAAGTAACCATCCTGTCAGCGCAAGTAATTCTATTTGTGCAATGGAACTCCCCCCCCACACACACATCTGTGTGCACCCTGCACCTTCCCCAATTGTGCTCCAGAGGGTTGAGGGAACACCCCCAGAACAGATTTAGAGAGTCAGGTACCATTTAACCTATGTAAATCTGATACACTACGGTGTGCAAAAAAATATAGCCATTCCATTCTAGTGTTCTGTGTTTTGTAGCTTGGATATATGACCCAATTTGAGCCCCCAGTAGAAATAGATACCTTATTGTTATGTGGCCAAGAGTTTCCTCTTTTAAGAGCTGCTGTCGATATGCCCAGGGCATAAACACAAACTATATATATATATATATATATATATATATATATATATATATATATATATAACATTCCCTGCTCTCGCATGTAAGGCCCCAGTTGAAACCGACAATGTGAAATGTGTTCATTCGGTTTGTTCGCAACGGAGTGCGTTTAAGTGTTGCCTCTTTGATGTTTCCCTGCCATCTCCATCTTTGTCATCGCCGGCCCATCTTTTTCAATCTAATGAACTCAAACCATCAGTGCAACTTAAGTTCGGCTGTCTGTTCTTGCATAGTTAATATTAAAAATGTACTAACAGTGCGGCTGCAAAATCAAATTATGCACATAAATATGCTGGCATCGCAGAGGAGGCGGCAGAAGCTGAAGTTAGCAACATTGATGCCAGTTCACATTTGCAAATCAACCGTCAATCTGTCATTAAACATGTTATCAAATGATGATAAGTGTATGCTTCTTGCTTGCATTGGTACGCTTATTCCCGATGTTGATGTGCATTAATGGGATAATGTGCATTAACATAGTCTTGCTTGGGTGAACACAAAACATTTTTTATCCATCTTAGCTTGTTTCCCCCTGTGGCCCCCCAACTAAGTGTTTTATGTTATCAAATTGCCAAAAAATGGGAAAACATATTACTTTTAATTAGCAAACCATGAGTTATTATTAGTAGTATTTCATTCATTTTACTTTAATCCAGGCTAACTGTGGCACATTGGCAATGCATTTATAGAAATGGTTGTTGGGGGTGTGTGTCTCTGAAAATCATTCCACTGTCTTTCTTTGAGTAAAACGATTAATGTCAGAAACTCAGAGGCTGACAATTACGTGCTGTCTTAATGCACTGGCCTTTCATCTGCAAGCCTGACTTTTTGACAGGAGTGATGGTTTCAGTTCAATGATATGAAAGGCAGGAGAGGAAACAATCTTGGGCTATGAGAGTCTGTTGTATGGCAGGCTTTGGCTAGTAGTTTTAGATATCCAGGAGGCGAATCGTGTATGTTTTGATTTTACAGCTACAGAAGCCGCTGTTCAAAGTTTCGGCAGAGACTCCCTCCTAGGAGGTCTAACATGCTGGTCTTCCACTGGTGGATCGGGATTTGTTGCTGGGACACAGTCTAGCCTAAGAGAGGTTGCAACAGCAACACTACTGCCATTGAAATATATAAGGGAATGTTAAGAAGTGGGTCTCCAAATGCACATTTGAACCAAGGTTTGAAAAAGTTCAAAACCAGTGCTGTTTTTCTAGAAAAAGAGGTGTTGGAGCTCACCATTAACTCCTCCCTTGTCCTCTTATGGCACCCACATGAGAGGTGCTGGAGCTGAGCTCCGGCTGAAAGAAAAAAAAAGCCCTGTTCAAGACTGCGGGTCTAAAAACATCTCTGAGTAAGCTTTGTGTGTTTTCTTTACCAGTCTCACCTGCTTGCAACCCTGCTGGAGGTACCTTTGCAGGGACAAAAAAGAGAGCAGATGGTTCGGTGTGGGTACAGAAAATCTACACTTGTAACAACTTGTACAGTATACCTCAAAAAAATACTTGTTTTATGTTCTGGTGAGACTGTCACTATCTTCTTTACAGCTGATCCTTATTGCATTATAGAGGTACAGTGGTACCTCGGGTTACAGACGCTTCAGGTTACAAATGATTCAGGTTACAGACTCCGCTAACCCAGAAATAGTATCTTGGGTTAAGAACTTTGCTTCAGGATGAGAACAGAAATTGCTCGGCGGCAGTGTAGTGGCAGCAGGAGGCCCCATTAGCTGAAGTGGTACCTCAGGTTAAGAACAGTTTCAGGTTAAGAACGGACCTCCAGAACAAATTAAGTTCTTAACCCAAGGTACCACTGTACATGTGCCCTTTAACATGCCACTTGTGGTGGAGCACCACAAGTGATATTTTTGCCTCCACAAGCACTTTATGATATCTCAGAATGCACTGAGCATCCTCCTGGGACATGATGGAATGTGATTTGTGTGGCGACATCAAGCTACTCCACCAGGAAGGTCAGAAATGGTCTTAGCTCTTCAGGTGTGTTTGTTATCATCAGACAGTGGGGGAGAGGGGATACGGCAAACGTTAGTTTAGGCCAATCCTTCGCCATAGACGGAGCGATTATTTCATAGTCCTTGGAAATTTCGATATACTTTCCTGCTATGTGATCATTAAGTGCTGTTATACTGATTAGCAGCAGGGGGGTGGAAAGGGAGGTGGGGGAGCTGTGGGATTTGGCGTGGTGAGCTTATGCTGTTGTTCCTCTCACTCCCGGCTCTCTGGAGAGTGATTCCTGTGACCATATTTCAAGCTGCCTTTAGAATACTTTGGAGCGCTTTCAGATTTTGGAAATGGCAAGTAATTTGTCAATATGTTTTCACCATATGTATTAAGCTTGATTTTTTTTTTTTAATTAAAAAAATGACAACCAACAGGCCTTGTAATGGCACACAGTAAGCATTTTGTGTGTGT